AGGGTAGGACAATTTGGAGGACAATGCTTGAGAAATGGAAGATTGGTAATGGATGGTTACCAAGTGCAAGGCTCCTTTAATAGAGGTAACCAAGAATTTACTGAATGTATGTCTTTTGAAGATGGTTTAAGGTGTTTAAAGACTAAATTTGATGTTATGATGTTACAAGTTCAAATGGACACAATTATGCATGAAATTGAGCAAGGGAGGAATGTTAATACTTTTAATTCTTATCATGTGATTTGTGACTTGTGTGGAGGTTATCATGCTACTAATACACAAAATGTGGATTATTATGATAAATTAGAGCATTACAATCCTTGTTTTGATCATATGAGTTACTTACTTGTAAGATTGGGTAATGATGAAAAATTGATTTGAACTTGTTATAATTACGGTATAATTGGCTCTCCTTTACTTGATATTATGAGTACTTGAACTTAATTGAATAATTGCATAATGGTTATTTACTCTGTTTTGAGGAAATGAAGTTGAAATGCTACATATATTTATTTTCAAATTTTGGATCATTGTTGGTTTGTATTTTTATTGCTTGAGGACAAGCAATGATTTAAGTGTGGGGGAGTTTGACAAGTGATTAATTTACGTAATAATTGTATAATATTTTATATTATTTTTAGTCACTTTAGTTATATTATTGGTAGAATATGAATCATTTTGGCTATAATTGGTGAAAAATGCTTTTAAGTGATTAAATGAGGTTTTTATCACTTTTTACTTGGATTTTGTGTATTTTGACAGTTTTGACACATTTTCGTATTTCGGCTATAACTTGAGCTACAATGATCGAATTAAGATGATTCTTGAACCAATTTGAAGATAAGAGATAGATCTACAACTTTGGTGAAGACATCTAAATCCAGTTTGAAGGTTTTCCAGGTCAAAATGCCGAATTACAATAGCAAATTTCTACTGGTCGAAACTGGAACAGGGCAATGAGCAGGTAAGGGTATTTCGGTCATTTCTCAGCCTACACAGATCCAAATGAGGTTATTCTTGATGCATTAGAAAGCTAACTCAAAGGGCTACAAGTTTCATGTTTTGGTCAAGAGCTAAATCAGCTTTTATCATCAAGAAAAATGCAGTTGAAATTGAGTCAAAATCGGAGCAGAGCTGGAAATTGAACAAGAAGTGACCAAATGGTCACTGTATCAATCCGGCCGGAATTTGGCCGGATTTAAGGCCGGATTTCTTGCCGGATTGCGGTCAGGAAAGGCTGCTCTGTACGCGTAAAACTCAATTTCACTCCCACCAACTCACATGGATGCTAGACATGTGAGAAACATTCCCAGCTGTAAAAGGGAGATGTAATCCTCATTTCTTGACCACCTTTCATCATAAAAGAGCCAAATTCATTGCAAAAAGGAGATTGGAGTCCATGCAGAAAAATAGAGAGGGAGCTACGGGAGAAGCTTGAAGTTGCAGAAATGTAGCTCTTTCATCTTCCTAGTGTTAGTTTAGCTTAGTATAGAGTAGTGTAGCTTTTCCATTCTTGTTTATTATCTAGATTAGGATGAAGATGGAGGATGAAGAAGGCAAGGAAGAAAGCTCATGTGACAAGGGTTGTATTCCTTCCAAACTCTTTATCTTTTGTATTTGATTCCAAGTTTAGTTAATATACAAGTTCTGGATTTTGTGTTCATTATGTGTTTCTAAAGTTTATGCCTTGGGTTTGGTTGAACTTTCTATAATTGTTAGTGTTTATTATTTGGTTATTTGATTGCTATGATTTGAGCAAGTTATTTAGCACTTTGGCTCTTTAAATCATGATTAATCTGGTACCATTGATTGTGATTATCTAAGGTGTTGTTTCTGCAATGAAAATTGAGATTTAACACTAGTTCAAGAAGTGCTAAACATAGGGAGTACACTCACGAAAGTAGAGGTGCATCTATGTGGTTTTAGTGATTCATTTCATGTAATTTCACTGAAGAAATGAACTTGTAGCTAATTTCATAACCATGAGAATAGGTATGGATTAGTTATGAGTATAATTGATTCACTACGAAAGTAGGTTTCACATGTTTAAGGAAATTACACCATAACTAGCCTAGATGTAGTAATTAATGATCCAAATATAGCACTTGCATGAGTAGTTAGGGATACCACAACCTAAGGAGCTTTTATTTGTCATTTTGTATAATTTCAGTAGGTTAAATTTGTTATAATTCATTGATAGTTTAAATAATAGAGAAGCTTTAGTAATACCGGTAATTGTTCACTCTTCCCTGTGGGATCGACCCGATATATACCCTAAACTACTAGTTGACCTGTATACTTGCAGTGAACGGGTGTAATTCGGTATTTTTTAGCTTGCACGTATGTAAAATACCCGTCGCCTATGTAGTTGCCCGTAGGCCTTGTGCAATGCAAGGAAGCTAGACTAGGATCTTTCGATGGGAGGGCATTTTCATCATCCAGAGCTGTCTAAGCTGGACGGAAGCTAGATGCATGATGATCATCATAGTTGAAGGAAGCAGGCAGCAGTAGAGCAGATTGCGATTAGTTAGTTAAGTAGTTATCAAGTTGGGCTGTTAGTTAGGACAACGACATCAGTAGATATTATAACTGGAAAGTTAATTAGTGCAAGTGCAGAGTATTGAGAACTATTGAAAATGTGATTGTTGTGATACTTGAATCATGAGTGTTATTTGAATTCTTCTCAATAAAATTTCTCTAATTTCTCTCCCAAGTTCTCCCTCAATCTTCTTAACTCTTTCTGTGTTCCAATCTTTCACATCTTCATCTTGCTTTCTCATCCCTAATCAGTTTAGTGACAACAAAACTCCGTAAGTCATTTATGAGCACTGAATTAAAAGAAGTCTTTTCCCTTGTTTACTCTATTGTGTCCTGCTGCGACAGCCAGTTAGCAGTTACATTCCTGGCCTCTGCTTATTCCACTAAACGCCTTTCCCTTGCTCTAAGTTAGTGTTGATGCTTCTCTAATGACGATATCTTTCTGAACCTTGTTCTGTGAGCTAACTATAATCTGGATGATCAAATTTTCGCGTAAGATTAATTTGATCATGAGGAGACTTTCTATTAGCTGTGCGCTTTCATTTTTTTCCCAATTATTCTGTTCATGGATCCACTGCATTGCTTCTTGTTGGAATATTAGCATTTTCGTTGAGAGAATAACCGTTGCAACTTTTTCATTTTTAATTATATATAAAAAAAATGGTAAATAAATTAAAATTTTTTTGAACATATTGGTTAGGTTAACAGTGGAGTAAAGTACCTAGAATTGGGAGTAAAGCGATTGTATCACCAGAATTGGGAGTAATGCCATAAAACAAAAGGGTATTTTTGTCCAAAATTTGTTAACATGTTGAGTTGAATTACCTATGGAGGTGAAGTGGTTAAAAGATAATGTTAGGGGTAAATTAATTGTTGTGATATAGCTTTAGTGGGTAAAGTGATAATAACCCAAAAAAAATCCATGAAAAGAAGTAGACATTACACCTGTCAAGACTCACAAGTCCCCTTAAGCTTAGAAATCCAGAAGACACTTCTTGCTTAACATATATTATGTGCAAGCTAGAAGCTAACAAGTTTAAGATGAAGCAAAAGCTTGGTATCTTGTTTTATCACCTTAGGAAACAAAACTGGACTCACAGCTCCTTAGTAATCAACAGAAAAACATAAATGTCAGCATGAAAACACAGAAGGACAAATCCGCAGTTTGGAAGTTAGACAATCTAAATTCAACCTTAACCATCAACTAAAAGCTGACAACTGCAATCATTTCAGAAATACTCACAACTTCGGGGCAGGTCCTAGAGGAAAAGCCGGGGCCAAGGGTGGTGGGATAGGGTGGGAGCAGGGCAAGAGCAGAAAACAACTAGAGAAAACTTCCTAATATGTCCTATAAGAGATAGCTGAGTGCAATCTTGACAATGCCATTGAACTTCCAGGTCTCATGGGTGATGAAATCTTCACCAACAATGGTAGTGGGTGCTTTAAACTATGTAACTTCTACATTAACTACAATAGGAAACATTTTACAATATGTAATTAAGCTTATAGAAGTAGCCATGACTCAGATATTTCTTTGTACCTATTGTATCATGAATCAGGATTACGAACAGTTTGCAGAACATAATATCACTCAATAATGTTGTTAACAGTCTAGCTTTGAAACATTGCAAATACATATATCATTATAACAAAAAAGCCAAAGATGAGCCAAGTAGAAGTACACGTGCATGTAGATTCCTTTGTTCTTGGGGAAACCAAGAAACTCCTATCATCTGCAAAACTCCAAATTTGCTATTTCAACATGGTTTGCGATAATTAGATTTTCTTATTGTAGAGAATCCTTAACTACTTGTCATAAGCATGAAGTTGTACCATTGACAACGTTTATATATGTTTCAGGACATGCATCATTTAAAAATGTTGGAAACTTTTCAAAATTTGTGTGGTATACATAAATGTAATTAATGTATATTCATTCATGTTTTGATACATGTATAGTATTGTGAATGTTTCTAAAATGTACATTCATTTATGAATGTGTTCATGTATATGGGAATCATTGAATGAAAGGATAGATTCATGATTTAATCTTAAGATCATGAGATGCATGAATTAAAGTGTATGAATTTGTACACAATACTTTGAATCTATTCATACAAGTATTTAATGAGTTCCTTTGTTTCTTAAACAATCTTCCTATATAAAGAGGTCAAGTAGAGAGTGATTTGCTGCAGAAAATCACTTTCCTACTATTGTATACTCTCTCAAAAGCACTCCTTAATTCAAAAGGGTTTGTCTTGCTTTGTGCAAGAGTGTAAGACAAACAAATTTCATCTTATCTTAAAGGATATTTGTCCAAGGGTTTTGCACGTCATACCGGACAAATAAAGCCTAAAGGAAAGTGATCTTCTATCACGATTTGAAGCCAATTCTTGTCACAACATTTGCCAATTCGTTGCAATTATTCTCAACAATCTTTAGGCTTTACTTTATACTCTACAATGGCTGGTACCTTGAAAGAATTGGCATCCAACATTATCAAGCTCGAGAGATTTGATAAAGAAAATTTCATTCGTTGGCAAAAACGTGTTCGTTTCCTTCTCACTGCACTCAAAGTGGTCTATGTTTTGACCACACCAAAACTATTTGTCATCAATCCTGAGGAAGAAACTCTTGAAGGCATCCGAAACCGTCAGAATTGGGAGAACGACGATGAAATATGTCGTGGTCACATCCTCAATACCATGAGCGACAGCCTATTTGATGTCTACCATTCAATTACTACCGCCAAGGAACTTTGGGATCGTTTGGAGTCCAAGTACACGCAAGAAGATGCTACAAGTAAGAAGTTTCTTGTCTCGTCTTTTAATAATTATAAGATGGTAGATAGTAAGTCTGTTATGGAACAATTTAGTGAGATTGAAAGGCTTCTTACTCACTTCACACAACGCAATCTACACATGGATGAAGCCATTATTGTTTGCTCTATAATAGATAAATTACCACTTTCTTGGAAAGATTTCAAGAGAGACCTTAAACATAAGATAGTGGTTCAATCGAAGGATTGATTTCAAAGAACCTTCTGACATGTGCCGAACCTGTGCAATAATAATTACTAAAAAATCCTAATTACCACCACAATTAATTATAGAACAAATTCGAATACTGGAGCAGGGACCCTAGGTGTGCAATGGATACTTGATTCACCCTGTTCTCGATGAGTTTGCTTGATCCGATATACCAGAATTTAATATAAAAATATTAAATTGCATACAATGGCAAGTAGGGTCGATTCCACAGGGAACGGGCAGGAACTTGTTTCTTTCCAAGTCAATAGACTAAAATATGGAGATAATTAATGGGATGAAAATAAAAATGAAATAAATAAAATTCAAAAGCTAACTCAAAAGTTCGATTTAGTAAAAATAGCAATTAATAAAATTCAACCCAAATGGTCAACTGCTCAGGCGCGGTCCAATTAAATGATCATCGATGCAAAGATATTTCACTCATTCGTTGCTAGGTTGGTTATAGTTATCAACAAGCTTTGACAATCAGTTCTTCCTTACTTTTTCGATAGTCAAGGTACGACCTGTGACGGCCCCACCTCCCCCTAGGGCGTACCCCAGGGTTCGGCGGGTCGCCTGCCCAACTCTCGCCGGGACTCAATCGTTCACTACAGTTCTCAATTAAAATCGGAATAAATCACAAGAATAAATAGGGCAACGATCCAAAACTTAAAGCGGAACTTATATACATTGCCATCTCCAAAAGGAAGTATAAAGATCGAATATACAAAGGTTCTCCATCCTTCATACGTCCAGCCCGTGCCAAGCACTAGGCGAGAACCACTACAAAAGAAACAAAAGAACTAGACTGGCTAGTCTATGCTCTCATCCTGGTCGCCGTCCCCTGTTAAGGAAAACAAAACTAAAGGGGTGAGCTAAAAGCTCAGTGAGGTTCCGAACACATAATCAAACAATCAATTCAAGACATTAAACATGGAGTATCAATAATTCAAGAAATATTTACAATGGAAAGCGATAGTAACACATTCATTAAAAGGATACGGGCTCCCAAGGAGCTATTCGTTTGTTCGTTCGTTCCCCTGACATTTCCACTTATTCCTCCAATCGTTTAAAAATACATTTTTGTAAGTAGAATCTCTCGTTCATCCTTGTGTTCGTTCATCCCTTTCCGGACGTTGACCGGACTCCATCTATCCGGACGTAGCCGGACTCCACCCATCCGGACGTAGCCGGACTACAAGGTAATACTCGAGTATACCAAATTCACCCAAGGTCACCATATCGCCCGACCGAGTCCGCTTCTGACTCGAGTCGATCGGTAACGAAGGGCAGGGCCCAATTCAGCCAAACGGCTTACATTCATGCGCAACTAGCATTTAATCATTAATCATTGAAACTTTCACATTTATTTAGGTCGAGTGCGATAAAGTACACACTCGCCTAGAAAACTCGTTTTAACAATCATTGAAAGCACTTCACACATTATCAATCAATAATAATAAGCCAATAAGTCAAGAAATATAGCAAACAAGGAACACTCACCTAGTTATGCAAAATAACGTGTAAAATATCCTTCCGAATATTACGCTTAGTCACCAGTGAAACCTAAGATTGAACAAGAGAACACATTACAGTTTATCGAGCAAAACATTTAAGGGGAAACGAAGAAACCTGACTAATTAGGAGTAAAGCGTGTAAAGATGACTTTCAAGTAAAAGAGGGTTGTTTGGACCCAAGGATAAAAATCATATGGAAAAGGAAGACTCTTAAAACCGTACTTGAAAGTAGTTCACTTGTGGTCGATAAAACCCTAACTCATACTTCTATATTTTGGGTACGGAGTAAGTAAATATTTGGCGTTTCAAATCGAAGAGGTATCATGTTTTGGAATGGTAAAACGGTCGTAGTATTTGCCAAACGAAAATATACAAATTCAAATAGAAACTTAGTCCTTGAGTGAAAATTTGGGCAGCACACCCTTTGTGTTTACCTAATTTTCCAGCCATTTTGGCTTCATTATTTCCTCAAATCAGTCCCAACATCTCGTACAAAAATAATCTCATTTCCAAAATCCGTTCACTAGGCTTAAAGTCATTCAAGTCATTTAGCTAGGAAAATGACCGGAAAGGAAAGTCAAGCCCTAAAATATTCCAATAAGCACAATAAGACTCGATTACAAGTCATAAACCAATTCCAAATACCACCAAAATAGGGCTCCATAAGCATACATAAGCATTAGAGGAAATCAGAAAAATCCGGAAATGGAGTAAGTGTTAACCCGGAAAAAAACAGTTTTTGACGTCATTATGCGGTTTTGGTACCAATGGCACTACGATTATCGGATGAAGGTGCAAGACCCACCGTTTCGAAACTAAGAGATAGGGTTACAATATTACAGAAGGTCACTCAACCCAGTTTTTGAGTGTAACCAAATCAAAAATGCAATCTACTACACCAGAACCGCAAAAACAGATTCACAGAACGCATTCTAGTGCAAACATCATAAATCAGGTTACCTAAGTCCAAATCCAGAAATTTCAAAGCCATCCGAAAGCTAGGAAACAGGGCTACAATTCATCAGAAGACCTCAACAATCAATTCGGAAGCATTCCCAACCAAAATAACCAATTACAGACGCAATTCTCACATTCGGGTAAAACCAGGGCAGCAAGGGTAATTCCATCTTTTCTCAAACTACGCTACTCCGATTGACCTGAAATTTTGCAGGCATTTCTAAAATATCATTCCCTACAGTTTTCATGTTTTAACCCAAGGTCAATTCGTCCTCTAACTATGAGCTACAAAACCGGGCAGAATGTAGAACATTAAAACCCTAACTTTTCAATTTTCTTCCAAAACAGAAATTTCTTGCAATTAACCACTTTTTCCACCTTCTAGCTTCCTTAAATATCATTTCCAATCATCATACATGACCACATAATCATATCCATCTGAAAACAGAAAAATCATCAATATTTATAAAACTTCACAAATTTCATCCAAAAATCACAAATAACCACTAAAATCATCACTTAAACTCACATAAGCCATCAATTGAACATTAACAAGATTAAAGGAAAGGTTCCTTGGTCACTTACCTTGCAAACCCAAGAAAAGAAGCAACTTGGTACCTTAGCCTTCCAAACCACTTCACAACCAAGCTTAACTTCACTAAACTAAGAGGTTTTATGAAGTAATTTCAAGTTTAATCGGTTGGAATTGAAGATTGAGTGAGATGAGAAGCAAGAAAGTTGAGAGATTTTTCTTCTTTTCCTTTGAGAGAGAGCCGGCCATGAAGCTTAGAAATAAGAATGATTTTTGGCAATTTTTTTTTGATTTATTTGGTAAAGTAGTGAATAGTGTAGTCAAAGTCCAAGAATTAGTCACCAAGTGACACTTGTCACTTCATTTAATACATGGTTATCCTTTTGTCTCTCCACTCTCATCCATAACAACCTCTAATAATCTCTTAGCACCTGCTAAATTAAATCCGGTATACACAACTTAACCTAATTGGTCGAATTTTACCGAACTTTCCGCACTAGCGGGTCCCACGTCCGATATACGCTCTTAATTTCACATGAACTAACTTATACTAGGAAAATGATTTAAAAACTTTATTTGCTCATAAAAAAATTATCTGGGGAATTTTCCAACAAAGAAAAGGTATAAAAGTGTGCAATTAAATAAAATAAAGCCTAGAAATTCAGAAAATTTTTGGGTCCTCACACAACTATTGAATGCTTCCCTAACCAGAAAATAACCCTAGGTACGACCGTAGGAATTTAATTCTCCAGTTGCATTAAAGTTAAAAGAACCCAACCCTAACCAATAAACACGCTAAGAGGGTTTATTTAAATTAGATCTTACGTTTCCCATCATAAAGCCAATTATGGTGGTTGCCACTAGGTATCAACTAAACGAACAATTACGGATTCAATTTAATTAAAGTGACAGTAGGCTATTAGATTAAATCAAATACCCGGCCATTGGTATTCAATTAATAAAATACCCATGAACCATTAATTCAGGAAACGCATGAATAACAACAAATTGAAAGAAATAATGAAGATTCGATTAGATTTCACAGATATTATGGACCGCGCCTTCGCGTCGACCTTTGGGTAGAGGAGAAAACTAGCCGCTCCTCATTGTATCAATCTCGCGTGATTTGATTGATTCCATTCACTTAATTACCAATAAGTTCCAAAGGGAGAAATAACGTGGCGGCAGGTGAAAAAGGCCTTGTCTCTTTTGGGTTTCGACTCTGTACTGGAGCCAAAATTGCCGAACAAGACTCACAAATAATTGCCCAGAGCAATAGAAGCAAAAACGTCTCAATCGAACAAAACCAAAAAGCAAGAGAAAGGTTTCCAAGGTCTGACAGATGGGAGAACGAGAAAACTAAAGCTAATGTAGTGATTCATCGTGAATCTGGCTTTTCTATTCTTTTATAGCCGCCGCAGGAGAAGTCCACTAGACGTCCCCTTCAAAGTTTTTTCTCTTTTGGGGTTTTAATGCCATGCGCCTGGTCCACGTGGACCACTTTTGGTTTCCTGATGTTTCACTTGTTTTACCAATCCCGCGGTCCGGCTTTTAGGTGTAGCTCTTCAGTTTCTGGCATGGGCACGCCATGAAATAGAGAGTCTTCTGGAAATTTGCCTCGTGAAAGCACTTTTTACACCAATCACCTACAATTCATACAAATATGAAATATGAGCAACATCTCAATCCTTAGCACAGTAAGTAGCCAAAATTAGGATAAAATAACAGTGCAAAATGTGCCAAATAATTGCTCTATCACCTTCACTATGATAGTGGTTCAATCGAAAGACACCATTATTTATGCATATGAGTGTCAAATTATTCGGTGACCTTTTAGAAATCTATTTTCTAAATTTTGAAAATGGCGGGGGATTGTTGGAAACTTTTCAAAATTTGTGTGATGTACATACATGTAATTAATATATATTCATTCATGTTTTGGTACATGTATAGTATTGTGAATGTTTCTAAAATGTACATTCATTTATGAATGT